TACTCTCACAATATTTGGTTGGTCGCTCATAACTGGGAAAGAGAAGAGGGAGGACAGCCAGCCAGCGTTCCTCTTATTTGAGGGCCAAATTAAGATAATTATTGATATATGGCCAGAACCTGCGGGGTTTGTCCTCTTGAGAGCTCTTGGTTGCAAGGATATCTTGCATCTAAAGTGAAATGAGAACATTTCACAGGGCATTTATGAATTTTGTTGGTTATAGGAAGATGTTCTGAGCTTACTGGAAACCTTCCAGTTGAACACGAGGCTGCTTCATCACCTGTGTGGGCATTCTAAGGTAAGAGGGCAAGCGTGTCATGTCACCAGCTCACCTGTTGGTTTAATCTGCAATTGTTATGGGGAGATCCACAGGCTCCAGTCCCTTCTTCCTTTTTTACCCTTGTTGAGCCTTTATTTCTGGGACTGTGTCTGTCCAAAGCAGTTTGTTCAGAGTGGTCAAATCCTTAGTTGGTGGCTCAGATTGAGCAGTAATCTAGAGGGGAATTTCTTTATCTGAAATTTGACTCAAACTCCATAGCCCTATTTCCTCTAGAAGCTCTTCTTTGGTGAGAGATACAGAATGTTGGGGGCTGTGTTACTGCTTCAAATTACTCTGGGTAGGAGGAATATTATGTAAGTGATGACTCTCTGCTGGAGACGAGAGGTAGTTCTAAAAGCAGCTATCTTAGAGCTTTTCAGCTGTTCTACTTACTTGTCAAGGAATACATCTGCCTCTTGTGAGAACATTTTAGCATTAAAGGACTTTTCCACTTGAATCCTATAGTCGAACCGTTGTCACTTTTTGTCTGGAGGAACACAGAACCATAGAGTTCTGCAGTCACTGGCAAACAAAATGATTCTTTGATCCACTTCCTACTGATTCTAACTTCAGAAGGTGCTGAACAGTGGAATTTTAAGAACCCTCAGCTAGACAGGGCTACTGTCTGTTGTTTAATGTCAGTATAATACATGTTCAAGAATATTTTAGGTCAATCCACTGATAAGTGGTCAATGAGAGGTTATGAAGAGGAACCTAGAGGTGTTGGTGGTATGTCTTCTAGGCTCTTAGAGCTTGAAGGACAGCCCCCATTCTCCTCAGAGTACTCTGCCAGATTATTACTGTGTGATGCAACATGTCTCTGGCCTATACTGGCAGGGCTTCTGCTCCTATTCAGTGTTGAAGATGTCAGGAATTCAAAAGTTTCTGTATAGGAAATATGAAAGCATATTGATAAACGCAGATAAGTTGGGTGCATTTGTTTCCGTTCAGATTCACCAGGACACAAAACTCACCAAACACGTGCCTTTGCTCAAAAAGACCCTGGAGCTGTTAGTTTGCAGAGTGAAAGCCATGCTCGTGCTCAACAACTGCAGGGAGGCTTTCTGGCTGGGCAATCTCAAAAACCGGGACTTGCAGGTAAGTCTGGGACCCCACCAGCAGTGATCTCCTACTCCCTTTCTTTGTGAGAGCATTGGAAAGTAAGTAAGGGGGGTCACCTAAGCCCTGCTCTCTCAATTAGACTGTTCTTCTCTTACGTCTGTGGCTGTTAGCTCTTAAAGTTAGGGTACATTGCTTATGGGCCCTGGTCACAGGCTGCACCCCTCATCCCAGGCAGTGAAGGCACCAAAACATACCACTGATAGAAACCAGGCCTCAGAGGTAGAGGAGCCAGATCAGTAAGATCTAGAGGGGTACCTTTACGCCCTACTGAGGGTAGAGCCCTAATAACATTTTTGTATATGGACAAGCTGCTTTTTTTGTTTAGTTATTTTGGTTTTTCCCCCTAAACCAGTCTTATTTCTGTCTTATTTCTGAAATTATTCTCTGGCTAATTTTAACAAATGAGCATTTCTAAGTTCTTTCAGTTGTCTGACTGGCTGAAATCTCATGTTGTTTATACTACTACTTTGGAGTTACGGCGTTTTTCAAAAAGGGTTCAAGCCCTTCTCATTCATGCTTACAATATCTGAGTTTTATAATCTTGTATATGAAAAGACCAGCACCCCAGAGAGTTAGCTTCCTTTCATCACATCAACTTTATGAGGCAGAGACTATTGTTTCCATAAGAAAATTGAAGCTTAGGGAGTTTAAGTAACTTACCTAAAGTCATTCAGCACTAAGTGAATAGAGTCGGGGTTTGAGTCCAAACAGTTCTGACCCAAAGCTAATGTTCTTAAACCACTTTAGTGTACCAGCCCCTACGCGGCCTTTCAGGGTTGGTGTGTTAAGGTGTTTGGGAAATTTTAGAACTGTATTCAGCATTAACTGGAAGAGTCACCAGTACAATCTGGCCTTGTCAAATCTAGTATGATATTAGAATACAAAGATGGACCTTTTGTAAAACTACATAATTTATTTGAGCCACAGGCATTTCAGAAACCTTAGGTTGATTATCACTTCTCTAGATGCTGGATCATAGGTTGGTGTCCATGTTTGACCATGTTGGAATGGCTGAATGTCTTCCTTTGTATTGCCTGTAAACTAAGACTTTCTCCCCTTGAGACCCCAAATGTGATCATAACCCACCATTTGTCTTGGCCCATCCACATTTAGGGTGAAGAGATTATATCCCAGAATTCCCAGGAGAGCACAGCAGATGAGAGTGGGGATGACGCATCATCCCAGGTCTCCAAGAGCAAAGCAACGGAGGTATCTCTGCAGGAGGCACCCAGAGTGTGGCATTGATGGTGGCATTTTGTTAATTATTCTGAGTTGGCAGAGAGTGCAGAACTTTCCCTGCTTAATGTTTATGATCAAATACTTCTATGCCTGTCTCCATTCCCTCCAAAAATTCTGCGCTCATATGAATTCTGTGGGGGCCAGAAAAAACCCCCACACGATCTTATAATCACTCTTGAGAATCTCAAGTTGTGGCATACGTACTGAGTTGAACATTCCCTTCTGTTATAGCGCCCTATTTTCCCTGAATTCATGTCTGAAACTATTTTAGAGGGGAGAGAAGAAGAGGTCAAAATGTTCTCCGAGTGTTGAGAGGAATGAGTTAAGCCATTTAAACATGTTGTTTGAATATATAAAATAGAAATGTGAGAGCCAAAGAACAAAATCAAAAGCTGCCACCACTGAGGACTAAAACAAGAGTGGGGCTTCTTGTTCTTTTCTGGGCTACCACAGATGCTTTCAAGACTTTAAAGAAAGCTAAAGAAAAATATATATGTTTATAAAATTTTTTACAGTTCAGTTGGATTATGGACACCAAGCAGCTCAGATTTAAGAACCTTGCTCTAGAGCCTCTCTGTAATGCAATGTGAGGCTGATGCAGAAAGATCATTTAGTATGAAAAAGTCTATTACATGGCTCTCTGTTTCATTTGTATAGTATAAAAGTTTTGTTCTCATAAAAAATTTCAAGCAGACAGTATCCTATGAGTTTGGTACTTTGTCCTAAGCAAAGCTCCCAGATTAGAGTTATAGTCTGGAGAGAATTTTATGCTGGATTCCTGTTGAAATACACCAGAATTTTTAATTTAACAAAGATTTAATTCTATATTAAATGCCCACTATGTTTCTATGTCACATACATGCAGTAGATCTAGAGGGCGATGGCTTATTTAAAAATCATGCAAATTTGGTTCAGTTGCAGAATGACCTGAGTCAGTATCAAAATGGCCTCCCTTCATGGTCTTGGCTTAGAGGTCATGATACAAGAAGAATGGAGGAGTCTGTGATTCATCTTTCAAACGAATGGTTTAAAGCCTATCCTCCATTTAACAATGACATAGTACAGTTGCATATCCTGTGGGGGCAGCATTGCAATTCAGGGAGCCTCCCAGATGACCCGAAATAATTCAATTATCCTTTGCCCCTTAGGATGGTGAAGATGATGAAGCAAGTGATGGAGAAAAGGAGCAAGACAGTGATGAAAGTGATGACGACTCTGATTAGACCACAGAGAGACTGATGCCCCCTCTCTGTCTCTGCCATCCTCTCACCATTTTATGTTCAGGATTTGATATCTGCTCTCTGCCTTTCTAACTGGAAGCATCCTATTTTTTCCTTGAAGAGGGGGCTTCATTGAATCAACTTGTGGGTTTCATAGATTGTCTAACATCATCGAAGACCCTGGCTCAGAATTTGAATGTAGCATTACTTTCAACTTGGGCGAACATGGCAGTGCTTTGCTGCAGAGTAGTCATGATTCTGGGCTTTGGGAACTAGTTTTCAAACTGATTTATTCCAGAATTTAGGCTTGTACCAGTTTTACAAATAAATTCTGTTTTAAGTTCTGCCTCAGCTACCTCATTTCTCTTTCCAGATTTCTTTCATTACTCAAGGATTAGATGGAATTGAATTGGGATTTGTGCAAAGCAATAATGGAGACTAATGCCACCACATCAGTTCTACAGTTAAAATCATCTGTTTCCTATTATAAGGACCATTTTTACTTGAGATGAGATCTTTGCGATCTTTTTGGAAGAGTGACAAATTTCTTGTCAATGCCCAAAGAAAGTCAAAAGGAATATTTTGGCTGCTTAAAATTTTTCAGTCATCATCTAGATATGACAAAGGGGGAAAAGGCAGCATTAAACTCATATTGACTTTGTATATATTATGTTTACTTTATTTCCACATTATTCTGAGTTATCCCTATAATCTAGTTACAAGAATGCTACAAAGTTACTTGTAGTTTATTAGAAATAGAACATTAGGAGTACACTTCAGCTAAAATGGGGAGCTCTCATGTCTTCTGCCAGAAAGCCCAATTTCACTGCTGCTATCTAGTTCGTTCTTGTCAGGTTGTAAATATTAATATTTGTTAATATATCTACCCATTTTTGTACTCTCCAGTGGTATTAGGGTGTGGCTGGTTGGGGTTTGTTGTTGTTTTGGTGGGCGAGGTTATTTTTTAAATTAATCCTTGACCCGCATATTGACCCCTTCATCCTCGTGCACATAGAACTCCATAATCTCCTTCCTTGACACCCTTCATTTCCCCAACTCATTGTGGTCTTAGGTGTTGAAGTGAGTTCACACTAGCCTCATTGGTTTATATGGTTTGTTTAATGGTTCTTTATCACATCTACATGTAGTTTGACTCTCTTTTAAACGGCTGTTCAACTTTACAGTCAAAATGTTCTCCCTTGCTCTGTCACTGGCCCTTTTTTGGAGGGAGAGGGAGGAGAGGGGCTCCTGAATTGTCACTGCCTGCAAGAAAAGCAAGGTAGCTGGGGCCATGTCATGGTTCCCTTTACGTGGACAGGTTTCTGTAAGCTTCAGGCACATAGCAAAGGGTATGGTGTGAGGAACGAATCAGATGGGGACCCTTTACTTGGAGTGTTGCAAGGCAAAGGTGCACTTCTTGTATGTTGCATACAGCAAGAGGATAGAGCGCAGCATCTGTTTGCACATGGTCACTGTCATCTGAATCTGAGGTTCCTTAAGTCCAGTGGGCCACTGGTGCCCCCGGCTGATGATTTTGCAAAAGGCTGACTTATCTGAAACTCTGAAGGTCCCAGTCCACTTTGGTGGCTGAGCTGTGATGACCCTGCCAAAGACTGAATCCACTCCACTGAGGCGGACAGGCTGGGGCTTCCTGACCAGCCCTTTCTTGTTGTTCATGGTTCGGAGCTCTGATGTGTGGCAGGGTAACTTAGGACTCACCCCAGCCTCCAGGAATGGGCTGTCTCGGACTAGAGTGACCTCTTGAAAGCACAGCTGCACTTCAAGATCAGAAGGAGTGTGTGAGAAGCAGGGGGAAGCCCTAAAGGGGTGCTTCGAAGAAGGTGTAGGTGTTGTGTGCCGCAGCCATTGGAAGCTCTCGTCCAGTGGGGTCCATGGTGACCAGAGCTGGTATCCTGCCATTGATAGTCCTAAAGGAGAGAAATCAGAACATGGAATTTTCCTGGCATGCGTTTGGTGAGGGTATGGCTATTCAAATCCACATTTCTTTGTCTCATTATTGACTAACATACTCTGTCGTTCCCATGAACAGATTCCAATAGATGTTAGGGTACTAGTAATTCTATAAAGGGCAGTGGGTGACCGGGGCTGGCCCCGTGGTCGAGTGGTTAAGTTTGCTCACTCTGCTTCGGCAGTCCAGGGTTTCGCCAGTTTGAATCCTGGGTGCGGACATGGCACCGCTCATCAGGCCATGCTGCATCGGCATCCCACATGCCACAACTAGAAGGACCCACAACTAAAAATACACAACTATGTACCGGGCGGCTTTGGGAGAAAAAGGAAAAATAAAATCTTTAAAAAGAAGAAAAAGGGCAGTAGGGGATGGTAACAAATGTTGAATCTGGAAACAGCTGTGTGCAAAAACTTTATTAAACCTTATCACGAGCCTCTGAAGGTAGGTTTTAACCCATTCTACAGATGAAGAAATGGGTTTGTCCAAAAGGGTGTCTCCCAGTTCACCACTAGGACCTACGCTGTGTTGACAACTGCGAAAGACAGAATCTACACCTCTGAGGTGCCAGGGGCTGCTGGCCTCATTCTTTGTGGTTAGAAGCTCAAGAAAGGCCAGGTCTTGCTAATTATTTGGACTCTACACCCCATGTACTTTACACCAGTGGTTCACAATGTATGATCCAGAGACGAGCAGCTTCAGTATCATCTGGGAACATGGTGGAAGTGCAAATTCTTGGGCCTCACCTCAGACCTACAGAATCGGAAACTCTGGGAGTAGGGTCCTGCAATCTGTGTTTAAACAAACCCTCTAGGGATTTTTCTGAGGCACCTTAGATAGCTTAAGAACTTATGCTCTTCCTTTCAAGGCACTTTGGCTTTCACTATTCTTAATTATGGAGATAGTCTCCTCTTGGCCCTAAAAACCTCTGTTTTCTGAGACAAGGGAACAGCTCTCTCAGAAACCTGGGCTACTTATGTACCACCTCAGAGGAATTACACCAGGCTGGGAGGAAAAAAGTTTCCAAAGGCCAATCCTTAAAAATATTTAAATATTTTCTGTTTTTTCAAGGTATGTTTTGTTTTTGTGTTTTGTTTTCTTATCTATGGGAGACCCACTGGTTAAGAACTTGATTTTTCTTGTTTCCCCCTTTGGAGATAAAGGAAAGGGCTGGGAAGATGTTGTTAACTCAAAATTGTCCACGTAGAATCTGGATTCTCCATCATTCTACTTTAAAATTGCCAGTATACAAAGGGTTTTACTGAATTCAGAAGCAGCTAACATTTTTGAGCACCTACTTATGTTAACAGGCATAGCAGATCCGTTTCTTTCCAGCCAAGTGTGCTTCTTTGCCCCTCCTCTTTTCTCGCCCAGGAAGTGCTGTGGAAAGTTGACACCTCCTCCATCGTTTGTGAGACAAAGTTTTTTTTTTTTTTTGAAAGACTTGTTGGTGACATTTCAAACAAGAAGACCTGCCCTTGACAATGGTTAGTATAAAGGAGATTTGTTGATTTCCTCCAACTGGTATGTTTCTCCCGATATACACTGGCCCTTTCTGGTACTGTGTTCTACTATCTGGCCTGCCTTAGCATGAGAAACCACTGGAGGGATAGTTCTCTACTCCAAACAGCGTATGAAAGGCTTCTGATGGTTGATATCATGATCCTAAGAACATACATCACAGATCAGGGCTGCTCTGGTACACCACCATGACAAAGTGGGAGTGGAGGGTGTTAACTCCTCTGAGCATGTGCCCAAAAGAAGTATTTAATCCCAGGAGACTTTCCTGGCTTGTTTCCTAAGAGGAAATGGGACCAGACATAAAAAGCTCTATCAAATGTCCAGCGTAAATAGTTGGCAGAACCAACATGGGATGAGGGCTTCTGACCCCAGGTCTTCCCACCACTTTCACACAAAGTTTAAAAGAAGATAGTTGACCCCACTCCACTCCACTCCAACCCCCACCACTCCCACCACCCGGAAGGCACCGTCATCCACTTCAGGAGGGCTTGAACCTAGAAGTCAGCTGAGCTGCTCTAATAGCTCCCAAACGGGGAGCTGGTTCTCCTGGCCAAAAAGGCTCCCCCTTCATACCGCTCCTCCCGTTCCAAAGAAGTCTGTCCCTCGATTTCCCCACCTGGGAAAGGGGAAGGCAGCATCAAAGTGCAGCTGAGGTCCTTGTGAACTGTGATCCCGAGGGGCCGGAGCTGCCCGGAGTGGGGGAGACTTCCCCTCCCAGCTGGAAGAAGGGGCTTGTCCCCTGGGGGTCCCTACCTGGAGGCCGGCCCCAGACGGCTCTGGCGGAGACGGAGGTGGCAGTGGGAGCCCGGTTCCGGTCTCACCATCCGGGCCGGGGGCTCACCTGCTGAACTTCGTGGGACGCACGCTCCAGAGTGGCGGCTGCTGTTCCCGGGCCGCATCTTTTCTCCACCAGGCGCCTGGCAACGGCCTTTGTGATCCAGGATCGCGGGGGAGCCCGAGCCGCGGCGGGGGGTGGGGGCTCGAGGCGCCCCGCTGGGGGGCGTCAGGGCTAGAATCCCCACCCCCACCACCTTGGAACACCCCGTCCAGGACTCAGCCTTCAGGAGTGCTGGTTCGAATCCCGTCCCCTCCGTTCCCCTCCATTCCTCCCCGCCCCCTCCGCCTCCTCACGCTGCCACACCTGTGTGCCTTTGCGCTAGTCACAGAGGACGACACGCCCACTTCAAAGGCTTCTGTCACGAACCTGCATAAAGGTCCCAGGACCTGTAGTTAGTGTTAAAAGTTAGTCTCTACTCATTAAACCCTGCTCAGCGAGTATTCAGGCTGTTACCCAGAGTTCTGAAGGCCTTTGTCGCTGCATTGGAATGATCCCAGTACAAAGAGACAGAATTTATAAATGCTTGCCTGCCAATAACGAGAAGAAAGATATATGTCTTCCCTTGACTTCTGGACCGAAAACTTTTCTCTGCCTTCTGTTAAACCTCCAAAAGGAGGGTGCTGTCCCATTCTCACAAAGCTGAAAAACTGACCCTTTCACCGTAGTGAAAGTGATTTGACAACTTCGTAAGCATCACTGCAAGCAATTGCTTTGGACAGCTGAGGGAAGAGCGGTCAACCCGGTTGACTCCTACATCCCTGGTGCCTGCCTATGGCGGTGCCTGGCAGTGTGCGGCGTCTGTGGGAGGGATTAACTAATGGCCCACCTGCCCTTCTCTTATCCACTCAGAAAGTGCCTTTGCGCTTTTCAAACTGTAGAACACAGCACAAATAAGAGCTGTCACCTTTTGTCCAGCTCTTTGGGTGAGGTTTAAGTGGAGAGAATTGGGGCCCCTGGGAGGCGTCAGGCTGAGATCCTGGTATGGAAGACTAGATAGCTTGAGGGACTTGTCAAGAATTGTCAGTTGCCCATTCTGTGTGTGTGTGGCACTGCGTGGAAGGAGAGGTAAGTGGAAAGAGTTTGTGGTGGGGATCGGGGGGGTTGTCAGAAAATGGAGAGAGGAGCAGAGAATGATGAATCTTGGAAGAGACTAAAATGATTTTGAATTATAAAATTTTTTTCCAGTAAGTTTATTTTTATTTTCTTCTTGAATAAAAGAGATAACTGTTATCTAAAAAACAAATAAAACAGTAGTTTTTATTGCAGTTTTTTTTAAAATGAAAGCCTCCAAAGCAAAATTGTATAATTCAAAATTATTGGATAGAGAGGGCTTCATGCTTTTATGACGATCTGCTCCACAGTCCTCTGTGCAGTCTGCCCAGCTCTAAGGGATGTATTCTCAAGGCATCATTTACCATCACCTGTGAGTCTGATATTTCAGCTCCGTGGCTACTATGCACATACGGAAAACCGGAATCTCCCATATTACACGTTACTGATGACTTACAACATCAACTGGGTCCGTATCATGCAGCACTCAACATTCTGGTTGCCTGATTCAGGGATTCTTGTGACAATAGCCACATTCCCTCTGCCAAAAGCCGATTTGTTGCTTTCAAAGCAGCCCAAAACACTGCTGTGATGCACACGCCATATCCATAGCTGTACAAATGATGGTCCAAGTACACATAATTGCAAAGGAGGCTCAAATGATCACAATTAATACAACTGACACATTTCTTCAAGAAGTTGATTCCACGCTGATTCTTATACCTGGAGTCATTGACAAGATCCCCAAGTTCCGTGAAGCGTATGATGGACTGAAAGAGAAGATGGGGACCCAGTTCCCTTATGCTGAGGCAACCTGCCGCAGGAAGCATTCATAGTTGCACCAGCAGCCTTCCCTCTGCAGCCCTGCATCACACATCAGAAACAATTTCTACAATGAAGAATGACCACACTGGCAAACCCTTTAATGGAGGACTGCCTGACAGCAAGTTCCATGAGGCATTTAGAAAAAAGCTCCAAAAGTCAAGAGGAACATTCTTCACTCTGGACAGCAGCATATCCTTCAGTTGTTTGGAATTACAGGGGAGATTCTGGAACAGGTGTGTAGGAAGTCAAGCAAAAGAAGAGCTGGGCCTGACTCGTCCATGGAAGACCACTGGATATTTTTTTAAAAAGTGATAGATATGTGTATTTCGCTTTCTGCATAAAAAGAAAATGTAAACTGATCATGAGTGCATACTTTGTGAGGAGTCAGGCACTGTGCTTATTAGAGTTTCATTTATCCTTTCTCACCTAATTCTCCCAACAATCCTAACCCATCTATGCTGTTCTCCTTGTATTACACGTGAAGAAACCAAAGCTCAGAGAGGTGAAGTGACTCCTCTGTGGTAGACTCAGGATTTGAAACTGAGATGCCCTACCTTTAAAGGAAAAGCAGGTCTATCTGACTTCTCTGTGACTTGCGGTGAGCAAAATACTACTTCAACAGGATCACTTAGGAAGCTGAGTCTTGAATGGCAGAGAGCCTTCGGGATGCCTGGGGTTCGATATTTATTATTATTTTAGAAATCATTTATAGGAATACATAGGAGAACTCAGATAAACTTTAACCTGTTTTTAGAGTGGTACAGTAAAAACATAAAGGAGTCTGGAACCAGCTGTTGAAGGTCCATCACTTAATTGGATGTGTGACCTTGAACTTCCATTTTCTTATCTGTAAAATGAGAAATCTCTTCCTGACTTCCTCCCACAGGGTTTGTGAAGGTCCAGTGAGGTAAAAGCTATAAAAGCAGCTTTATAGCTTGTAAAATCTTCTACTGTACTACTAAAGGACTGTTCATATATATATATGTATATATATATATATACACATACATATATATTTTAACAAAAGGCATTTACTGCACAAACCAGATTGTAAATATTCCCTAAAATAAAAATAGAATTGTCCAAATTCCACTACCTTGACAAGCCAGATATTAACGTTTTTGGTATATCCTCCTTGTCCTCAAACAGACAATTTCTGCATAGTTGCAATTAAAGAAAAATTTCTATTTTGTTTTTCCCCTTCAATCTATCATGTCATGTTGCCATAGTGTTCCTTAGCATTTAAATGACTGCATAATATGCTGTAAGTGGGTATACCAGCTGTTGAGATAGTTGTTTTTTAATAGATTACACTTGAAAGAGCACCTTTGTGCCTAAAGTTATTTTTTCTTTTTCAATGATTTTCTTAATGAAATGATTAGGTCAAAAAGTTTGAAAAGTTTTACAGCTCTTGCTAACAATTTACACATTTCCTTCTGAAGGGACTGTGCCAGTTTACAGTGTGACCAGTTATTTACGAGCCTATCAATTTCCCTTTAGTCACAGGGTATTAACGTTTAAAAAAAAATAACGTTTTGTTCATTTGGTAAATGCAAGGTGGGACATCACCTGTGTTGTGTGAAAGGCATTTTTTAAATGACATATTTAAGGTGGTTCAATCGGCTATGCCCATCTTATTGCTGACAAAGATCGCAAGCTTAGTTTGGAGCAGGTCACGGACGGGTTGACGCGGGACCACGCGCCCTCTAACGCCCATAACCGCCAGCGACCCCGTAGGTCGTGGGTAGGGGGCTCTTGGCGCGTGCGCACTCCATTCTCCCCGCCCTGGTTGAGGCGACAGTTTTCACAGGCGTGGGAGCAGAGCGGAAACGCAGACCAGGACATGACATCGCGCAGGCGCACCACAATGCCTGTGGATTCGTGAGCGCCCGGGGATGGGCGTGGGCTGGCGGCGCAGGCGCACTGGCGGCCTGCAGGGTCGAGGCGCCTGCGCAGTCGCTCTTCCTTAGGCGGCAGCCATGGCGGGACAAGAGGATCCGGTGCAGCGGGAGATTCACCAGGACTGGGCGAACCGGGAGTACATTGAGGTCATCACCAGCAGCATCAAGAAAATCGCGGACTTTCTCAACTCTTTCGGTCAGCGGGCGCGCAGGGGAGGCGGGATGGAGGGAGGCCTTTGAGGCGTTTCGGCAGGGACGCTGAGAAGCTGTGCGGGGGCTCTGCCTGCTGGGCGCCCTCGGGTCCTGCTGGGTTTCGCTTCCTCCGGGCGCCACCTTCCCCCTCCCGCCTTGACCCTTGGGCTCCCTGGGCAGTCCCTGGGTGGTTATCTTGCCCCTGCTGAGCTCACCGGCTTCATCGCCGTCACCCCGACCCACTGACTGGTCTCAGCTTCCCGGACGTGTCGACGGCCCCTGCCGCCCTCTGCGCCTCTCCTCAGCGGCCCCCGCGTCCGTTGTGCCCCGCTTTCCTTCCCGCTCCCCGTCTCCTTCAGCGTCAGGTCGCAGGCCTCTAGTCGCCCGGTCGGCCGCTGTCCTGGCGGTCCCCGCCTGTCTCCCGCGCGTGCCCTGCTGGGAGTGGTCGGGGGGAGGTCGGAGGGAAGGTCCGGATCGCGGACGGCCGTGGGCATCTCTGTGTGGCCGGTATCTGGTCGACAGCAGGTGTTCTGGCTGCTTCCAGCGGAATCCTGCCTGGGCTCGGCCTGCTTCCTTCTGCGTTGTTCCGCATCCTTCTGGACAGCACGCCTGTGACAGGCTCCCACCCCGTGTCCTCCAAGTGTTTCTTTAGGAGGACTGGGCGCCGGGAGACTTTCTTAGATAATCGCAAGGCGTAGCGGTGACAGTTAGTGATCTCTTTCCAGCTGGTGTGCTTCTGTCCCACTAATTCAGCAACATGAAGCAGTTAAGATTAAGTAGAGGAAACCGATGTGTGAAAAGACTTAGAAACGAATTAATTCTGTTCTGGCTGGAGGACTGAAGAGTCCTAAGGAATGTAAAGGTGACAGAAGATGCGTGTACCAGGAAGCATCCAGAGAGCTGGGTCTCAGGACAGGGTTCGCTCTCAGTCACTGGGGACACACAGAATAAGAGCCGTTTCCTGCGTTCAGAGAATTTCTGTCTGGACGATGAAATAATGGCAACTTCAGAACCAAGCAGAGCATCGTTTTTGTGTTGATGTGCTTACCTGCAAAGGGTGGAGGATTATAATCTTCTCATGTCTTGGGATGGTGGGTAATGAGAGAAGAGAGTGTTGTATGTGTCAGTGATACATAGTCATGCACGTTGCTTGCTGTAGAGGTCGTGGCTGGGAATGGTAGCCAAGAAATCAGACCTCATGTACCCTGAAATTTTTTTTAAGTGTAAGTGAAGGAGTATGGTTTAGAGAAAAAGGTACATGGGTTTGGAGACAGGAGAGTCAAGTTCCAAGAGGCTAGACTAATTGATTTT